TGTCCAACTCTGTGCGACCCCATGGACTGCAGCATGTCAGGCTTTCCTGTCCCGAGGAAAGAGAATGTAACTTCCCTAAAAAATGAAACACACCACAGATAAAGATGTATTGGCCAGGTCTGCTAGGAGAAAAGCCAGGGACTCTCCTTTTTTATTGCTGCTTCTTTGTTTCTATACTGACTAGTCTTAGAGTAAGAGCAGAAATGCAAATAGGATATTTCAGAATCTCTACTGAAAATTTTGTCAGGGTCCTCTAGAAATAAGAGCTTCCCTGGTGACTCAGCTGGTAAAGAATCTGCTTGCAATGAGGGAGACCTGAGTTCGATCCCTGGGTTGGGAAGATCCCCTGGAGAAGGCAAAAGCTACCCACTCTAGTATTCTGGCCTGGAGAATTCCATGGACTGTATAGTCCGTGGGGTCACAAAGAGTCAGATACAACTGAAGGACTTTCACTTTCACTTTTCTAGAAAATAAAAATAAGCAGTAGGAGAATAAATTTTCATATATCCATTCTATGAAATACTATAATATGGGGCTAGTAAGTATAATGTGGTAAGTATATACACACACACATATATATACACATATACATACATATGTACAACTTATATATATATATATGTACACATATATAAAATGGTATCAAAAGTTATCTTATGTATTAATATTATGAAGTAAAAACAAGTAGTTACAGGATATATTTAGATCATGATATAAATTATGTAATCTAAAAAAATCCAGATAGGGGCAAGAAGGGGGAATAAAAAAATCTAAATAAGTCTCTATACATGTAAATTAGTTATATTATAAAAAGATTTTGTGGCACACGATGTGTAAAGATGTAATTTTGCAACATCAACAACTAAGAGGTGGGCTGGAGCTATAAAGCAGCAGGGTTTTTATATGTTATTGAAGTTAAGCTTATGTAAATTCAAATTATAGTGCTTTAACTTTAGAATGTTAAATGTAGTCTCCACAGTAACCACAAAGAAAATAGCTATAGAATATACACAAAAGGAAATCAGGAAGGAATTTTAATGTTTTCAAGACATAAAATCAACTAAACACATAAGAAGATAGCAATGCAGGAGTAAGGAAGACCAAAAAAAACTACAAGGCGTATGAAAAGTAATTATTAACAGCAAAATGACAGAAAGAAGTTCCTCCTTATTGGTTATTACCCTAAATGTAAATGGATTAAACTCTAATCAGAAACAGAGATGGCAAATACATACAAAATCATGATCTAATTATATACCCTCTTCAAGAGACTCATCTTAGTTTCAAAGATACAAACAGATTGAAAGTGAAAGGATGGAAAAAGTTATTGCACGCAAATAATAACCAAGGAAGAGCAGGGTTGGTTAAACTAATATCAGTCAAAACAAACTTTAAATCAAAAAAGAAACATAGAGGGGCATTATGTATTTTAAAAGTTTCAATACAGCAAGAAGATATGGTGGCTCAGACGGTAAAGCGTGTGCCTACAATGCAGGAGACTTGGGTTCAATCCCTGGGTCAGGAAGATCTCCTGGAGAAGGAAATGGCAACCCACTCCAGTATTTTTGCCTGGAAAATCCCATGGATGAAGTTGCCTGGTAGGCTACAGTCCATGGGGTCGCAAAGAGTCAGACAGGATTAAGCAACTTCACTTTCACTTTCACAGTTACAGCCACCAAAATATATGAAGAAAATCTGACATAATTGAAGGCAGAAATAGACAGTTCTGCAATAAGAGTTGGAGATGTCAATATCCCACTCTCAACAATAAAACAACCAGACAAAAGATAGGTAAGGAAAAACAAATTTGAACAACCCAATCTGACAGACACATACAGGACACTTGATCCAACACAAGAGAATACACATTCTTCTCAAGTACACATGGGATATTTTCCAAGATAACTATTTATACCACAAATAAAGTTTCAGTAGACTTGAAAATATAGATAACAACAAAGAATTTTCTCAGAACCACAAAGGATGAGGTTAGTAGTCAATAACAAAAGGAAAACTAGAAAATTCACAAAAATGTAGAAATTAAACAACACGCTTAAATAAAAAACCGTAAAGATCAAAAAAGAAAATTAGAAAATACTTTGAGTTAAATATAAACAATACCACAACACACCAAGAGTTAGGAAATGCAGTCAAGAGTTAGGGAAATTTATAGGTGTAAATGCTCACATTAAAAAACAAAGAAGACCTCAAATCAAAAACCTAAAGTTACAACTTAAGGAACTAGAAAAAGAAAAAAAAAAAAAAAGAAACCTCAGACTAGCAGAAGAAAGGAAATAAAGATTAGAAAAGAGATCAATGAAGCAAAGAGCAAAGAATAGAAAAACAATAGTGAAAAGAAATAAAGCCAAAGTTGATTCTTTGAAATCAATGAAATTGACAAAACGTTAGTTGGATGGAATAAGAAAGATTCAAAATATTAAAATAAGAAATGAAAGTGAGGACATTTACTATTGATTTTATGAAAATAAAATGTGTTATAAGAGAGTGCTATAAAAATTGTATACCAACAAATTGGACCACTTAGATTACATAGACAAAATCCTAGAAATACAAACCTACTAAAACTGAATCACAAAGAAATAGTAAATCTACATATATCTATAACTAGTAAGGCAAATGAATTAGCAATAAAAATCTCCTAACAATGACAAAAAACCCACAGAAATAAAATCAAACCTGGAACAGATGGCTTCACTGGTGAGTTCTACTAAATATCTAAACAAGAACCCATCTTTTAAAAATTTTCCCCCAAAAAATGAAGAGGAGGAAATACTTTCTGACTCATTCTTTGAAGCTAGTGTTTCTCTGATACCAAAAACAAAGACACTATAAGAAAAAAGGGTATAGAATGGTATCCCTAATAAACATTGATGCAAAAATCCTCAACAAAAAACCGAGCTCAACAGCATATTAAAAGGATTACTCATCATGATCAAGTGAGATTTAAACCAAGAATATAAGGACAGTTCAACATACAAAAATAGATTAATGTAATACACCACATCAATAGAATGAAAGAAAAAAGCCACACAATAATCTCACTCTATGCAGAAAAAAAATTTGGCAAAATTCAATACTCCTTATGATAAAATACCTAAAAATTATGACTAGAAGTAAACTATCTCAACATGATAAAAACCATACATGAAAAACCTGAAACAAGCATCATATTCAATGGTGAAAAAGTGAAAGCTTTTCTTCTAATATCAGGAACAAGGCAAGGATGCCCATTTTTGCCATTTCTTTTTGACACAGTAGTTCTAGCCAGAGTAATTAGATAAGAATAAGGAATAAGAAGCATCCAAACTGTGAAGGAAGAAGTAAAATTATCTGCCTGCAGATGACATGATCTTATACACAGAAAATTTTTAAGATTCCTTAAAGAAATCATTGAAACAATCAATGAATTCACCAAAGTAGCAGATTGAAGGTTGATACACAAAAATCAGTTGCATTTCTGTATGCTAACAATGAAAAATTTGAAAAGAAAATTAAGAAATCAATTCTATTTATAATAGCATCAAAAAGAATAAAATACTTAGGCAAAGAGGTAAAATATTCATGTAATAAAAACTACAGAACATTGCTCAACAAAATTAAAGGAAATACAAATAAAGGGAAACACATCCCATATTCATGGATTGGAAGACTTGAAATTGTTAAGATGTCAATACCACTCAAAGTGATCTACAAATTCAATGCAATCCCTACCAAAATCCCAATGAATTTTTTTCAGAAATAGAAAAGCCCACCCTAAAATTCACTTGGAATTTCAAGGGAGCTTAAATAGATAAAACGGTCTTGAAAAAGAAAAACAAAACTGGAGGACTCACATTTCCTTATTTCAAAACTTACTACAAAGCTATAGCAATCAAAGTATAGTACTGGTATAAAGACAGATCTATATACCAATAGAATAAAATAGAAAGCCCAGAAATAAACCTTTACATTTATGATCAAATAATTTTTATAAGGGTGCCAAGTCCATTCAATGCTAAAAAGACAGTGTTTTCAACAAATGCTGCTGGGAACACTGGTTATCTACATGCAAAAAGAAAAAAAAAAATGAAGTTTATCCCTTACTTAATATCACATACAAAAATTAACTCAAAGCAGATCACAGACCTAAATATAAACCCTAAAGGTTTAAAACTCTTAAAAGGAAACATAATGTAAAATCTTTATGACCATTGAATTTGGAAATAATTTCTTGTATATGACACCAGAGGCATAGGCAACAAAAGAAAAAAATATATATATATACATATATAAGTTGGGCTTAATGAAAAATTTTAAATTTTGTGTATCAAAAGATACTATCAACAGGGTACAAAAAGGCAACCCTAAGAGAAGTATTTGCAAATAATACAGCTGATAAAGGTGGCAAATGGTGAAGCATTAAGGTCAGTGGACTGGAAATCCTAGTGAAGTTGAAGTATTGTTGGATTTGTTTTTAACTAGGAAATATAGGACATGGTTGTCAAGGAACAGAATGCTTACAATTGAGTTGTGGATGGGGTATTATTATTTATAATAGTAACTCCTAGGATATGGTGTTTCTAGTAGTCATGTATGGATATGAGAGTTGAACCATAAAGAAGGCTGAGTGCCAAAAAAAGAAGCACAAGAGCCAAAGAACTGATGATTTTGAATTGTGATGTTGCAGAAGACTCTTGAGAGTCCCTTGGACTGCAAGGAAATCCAACCAGTCAATCGTAAAGGAAATCAGTCCTGAATATTCATTGGAAGGACTGATGCTGAAAGTGAAGTCCCAATACTTTGGCCACATGATGTGAAAAGCTGACTCATTAGAAAAGAGCCTGGTGGGGAGGCCGGAAGTTGCGCCCTCACTACTCGCCGTTTCAAAATGCTGCTAAGACCTCAGGGACAGTTGAGTGACGCCCCCTCACCCCCCGGGCTCGGCAGAAAGCGACTCATGGAACAGCCGTGAGCAGACTTCACATCACTTCACTGCCAAAATGACATCATTTTCCACCTCTGCCCAGCGTTCAGCATCTGACAGTGCTTGCAGGATCTCTCCAGAACAAACCAATCAGGTACGACCAAAACTGCCTCTTTTGAAGATTTTGCAAGCAGCAGGTGCACAAGGTGAAATGTTCACTGTTAAAGAGGTTATGCATTATCTAGGCCAGTATATAATGGTGAAGCAGCTTTATGATCAGCAGGAGCAGCATATGGTACATTGTGGTGGAGATCTTTTGGGAGAACTACTGGGTCGTCAGAGCTTCTCTGTGAAAGATCCAAGCCCTCTCTATGATATGCTAAGAAAGAATCTTGTCACATTAGCTACTGCTACTACAGATTTTTTTCCCACAGTGGGTTGAGGAGAGGTTGCCTGTATTTGATGACTGTTATATGAACTCCAGAGTTTCCTTTTCTGCAAAGTGTAGAGGAAAGCCCCAGTTCCAGGAAGAGAACTGAAGAAGGCAATATTCCCACACTGCCTACCTCACAGTATAAGTGCAGAAATTCTAGAGCAGATGAAGACTTGGTAGCAAATTTAACTCAAGAAGAGACATTAAGACTGGACCTCGGGTTTGAGGAGTGGGATGTAGCTGGCTTGCCTTGGTGGTTTTGGGGAAACTTGAGAAATAACTATACACCTAGAAGTAATGGCTCAACTGATTTACAGACAAATCAGGATATAGGTACTGCCATTGTTTCAGACACCACAGATGATTTGTGGTTTTTGAATGAATCAGTGTCAGAGCAATTCGGTGTTGGGATAAAAGTTGAAGCTGCTGATCCTGAACAAACAAGTGAAGAAGTAGGGAAAGTGAGAGACAAAAAGGTGGTTGACATGGGAAAAAATGATGACCTGGAGGACCCTGAATCCATAAGTGATGATAGCGACACAGAAGTTACCTCTGAGGATGAGTGTCAGTGTACTGAGTGCAAGAAATTTAACTCTCCAAGCAAGAGGTACTGTTTTCGTTGCTGGGCCTTGAGGAAGGATTGGTACACAGATTATTCCAAGTTAACCCATTCTCTCTCCACATTTGATATCACTGCCATACCTGAAAAGCAAGAAAGTGAAGGAATTGATGTCCCTGACTGCAGAAGAACTGTATCAGCTCCAGTTGTTAGACCTAAAGATATATACAATAAGGAAGAAAACTCTCAACATTTTGATCCTTGCAACTCGGTGGAATTCTTGGATTTGGCTCATAGTTCTGAAAGCCAAGAGACCATATCAAGCATGGTAGAACAATCAGATAACCTTTTTGAACAGAGAAAAGATACAGAAAACATGGAGGATTGCCAGAATCTTTTGAAGCCATGTAGTCTGTGTGAGAAAAGACTACGAGACGGAAACATCATTCACGGGAGGACAGGCCATCTTGTCACTTGTTTTCATTGTGCTAGAAGACTAAAGAAGGCTGGGGCTTCTTGTCCTATTTGCAAGAAAGAGATTCAGTTGGTTATTAAGGTTTTTGTAGCATAGCTGAATCAGTGAATTAGACAGATATTAACAGAGCTGGTCATGTGTCCAAATATCAGTATTGAGCATCTCTACGCAGGGTGACTCATTTCATGCTTTCATTTATTCTTGTAAACTTTTATGTTCTAAGCCATTTTTACCTCTAAACTTATAGAATTTGAGAATAAGTTCTTTAGAACTACATTATCAGTATGGAGACTATTAACATTAAAAGAGAAGTTAATCATCCTGTCTTCAAAGATGAGGATCTAGGAGGGAGCAGTACAAATAGAAATACATTCATTCTTTCATTTACCAAAAAAAAAAAAAGAAAAGAGCCTGATGCTGGGAAAGATTGAAGGCAGGAGGAGAAAGGGACAACAAGAGAATGAGATGGTTGGATGGCATCACCAACTCGATGGACATGAGCTTGCACAAGCTCTGGGAGATGGTGAAGGACAGGGAAGCCTGGCGGGCTACAGTCCACGGGGTCACAAAGAGTCGGAAATGACTGAGCGGCTGAACGACAAAAGGATATGATTGAGAAAACCCTGGACTTAAAGAGTTGAGTTTGCTATGACTGATTCATGTTGATGTTTGATAGAAATCAACACATTGCTGTAAAGCAATTATGATGAATTTTTAATTCTGTGGCCCTTTTCAACAGTGGAGATCCAAAACTGACTAATTAGACAACATAAACATAATAGTTGATGTGTCAGGCATTGTGTGTGTGTGTGTGTGTGTGTGTGTGTGTGTGCGCGTGTTAGTCGCTCAGTCGTGTCCAACTCTTTGAGATCCCAGGGACTGTAGCCCACCAGGCTCCTCTGTGCATGAAATTCTCCAAGCAAGAATACTGGAGTGGGTTGCCAGTTTCTGCTCCAGAGTCATGCATCATGAAACAGGCTAAAAACTCACTACATTTTTTTTTTAACGGTAGCCAAAAGAGTTGGAAAGTACTGTCACTTCCCATTGTATAGATGGGGAAGCTGAGGGTGAGAGATATTATGTAATTTGCCCTGTTCATGTAACTACTCAGAGGCAGAACTTGAACATGAATTATAACATACTTGACTCCAAAATCTGTGCTCTGAACCTCTGTCCTTTACTGCTCAATTCTTCATAAAATAAGGTAAAATCAAGAGTGCAAAAGATTACAAAGCAGGAAAAGGAGTGTTCACTAAACAATAATTTACACTTCCTTTCTATTCAATCAGAATAAAGGCAAGGTATCAAGTATATAAGATGGTCCATAGGAAATTACAAGGCAATTTGGTCTGAAATAACTCTTCAAAATTTAACAGTATTTTTAAAAATCAAAATGAGCATTATAAGAGGCTTATCTTATAAGGCAATTTTGGTTGGCAAAAATTGCCAACCAAAGAATGAGAGGTGTTGCTCTCATTCTCCTCAGAAATCAGGAACATGTATTCCATCATCAGTTGCTACACAGGATATATGGCAAAAAGATTTGGATGATTCATTAAATGCAAAGTTTGGCAGCACATATGGGGAAGTGTTTATAAAGCAGTTTGGGAAACAAGACTGCAACAAATTCAGGTTAATATTCTTCCCAGAACCTGCTGGTCCCCATCCAGATAGGGTTATAGACAGATACTTCATTTTGGAAATGCTGAAAATGCAGAGCTGTTATTCTTCATTACCTCAGTTTCATTCTGATCTTCACTATAAACCAGTAAGTCTAATTCCTTTTCATCATCATTCCTTTTATCATCTTTGGGTGTAATCTTAGAACACAGCACACTATCAATAAAACAATAATACATACTTTATTTTAGGCTTTGCAAGCAATATTATGAACAGGAAATAAACAAGGCCATTAAGAAAACTGCCAGGACAGAATTACTGACTGAAGGGGTATTAGGTGGAGTTTAAGTCACTGTTTTCATAAGGCAGAGTCTGGACTCTTCACTAGTTCTTGACCAGCATCATTTGCCAAAGAATCAACTTTACTTCATGTTTTGCCTACAAATTTTACTTCATGCTATACGGGAGACTGTTATTATTTAAATTATACAAACTACTGTATGTTTGCCAGGAGCTCTTTTCACCCTCTTTACAGAAGAACTAGCTTAATGTTAGTAAAATATTAACAGGGGGGAAAAAGAGAGAGAAAAACATTGCTGTCTCTCTAGGTCACTGGGATAAAGAGAATTTGGGGACAATGAAAACTTGCTGGACCTAACACTAGCAGGCAGACCAGCTCTGCTGAGTTTTGAACTCATTAACTCCTCTCAGTTTGCCCTCTGACCTCGCGTGGCCGAAAGGAATTCCAGCAAAATCTAAGGAATGTCAGGTGATGCCTCCTTTAGGCAGCGACCAGCAGGCGCACTGGCCACAAGCCACACCAGTCTACTTTGGCACGGTGGAGGGTCTAGTCATGGGACTAAACATCACTCACAGAGTTCTTGGAAGAGAGAGAATTTCTTCTGGCAGACCAAGGTGGTTGCCATGGAGATAGAGGGCATTTCTGGGGAAGCCGTTTGCCCCGCTGCCCTTCTAGAATTGGAGGCCACCCTAGCTCTAGTCTCGTAGGAATTGTGGTAAGAATCTGCCATCGCTGCTGTCAAGCGAGCTACTCACGTGCGGAGGGCTGCCTGTACTTCCCATTACGTTGTAATATTCCATCAATTCCCTGGGCAGGAATCTGTCTGTGTGTGTCATACACAGTCATGAACCATGAAGAAGAGACGCATTGGAAGGTGAAGGAGGCACCAAGGGCATGGGACCATAGAAGAGAAACTTCAAAACCATGACTGTGACTACCCAGTTATTGAGTTCTTAGCTTGGGCCAAATTTTGTGCTAAGCTCTCTGTATCAATTATTTAACTGAAGTCTCACAAGAACCCTAAACACAGGTATTAGGAGCCCCATTTGACCGTCTCACCAGTCACGTGTTAAAGTTAGCACGTTTTTGAAAAACAGCTTGACTCAAATCTGGCCGATCAGATTGCTCCTCTGTTAACCAAAATTCTATTTGCTGGAGTTCTGCTCAGACATCTCAGGATTTCCAGGAGCACGGTCCCCGTGTGAGCCAGCTGGCCCCAGAGGCAGCCAACATTCTTTGGGCTGCACACCCGTGATGGGAAGCTGGAGTCCAGCCTTCCACACAGCTGGCTTATGAGCAAGCCTCTACTTTCCCCCTGGAACTCCTTCTGTCTGCAGGTTTATGATGCTCAGCCTTTTGTTAAATCTGGCTGGGCTGTAAATGAGAATACTACTTTGCACTTCTACCAGGCCTTTTAGATAACAAGTTTTAAAGACTTCCCTAATTCTGTCAACAAACCACCATCTCCTCCTAGTAGAGGTATTGATATTTAAATCATTTTGGGAATAAGTAATTAGCATGCAGATTTAGTCACCTGTCTGAGAGTTTTCACGATCGCTTTATTAATTATGAAGCATTGATAGCCTTCACCAAGGGGGATGATGGCAGAACCATTTATTTGCTAGACATCATACAACCTTTAACAAAGCAATTGCTTTGTTTACCATGTCAAAATCTGCCACTTTTATGTGCTACTGTGCAAAACTCTATCTACTTTTCATGATGATTAAATAACTTGTGCTGGGAACAGGGAAGACAGCAATAGCTGTAGCCTAATACCTACAACCTCTTATTAGGTTTGAACAAAAATTAATATATTAGCCTCACTTTAGGTGCACATGGGTCAGGGATCTCTACATGAAAACTTGATATTTGCCATCAACTCCCAGAGTGTTAGGAAATAGACCTTGAAGTTGAACTGCTTGGATTTACATCTCAACTCTCTCTCTTACCATCCTAGCATATTGGACCAGTTACTCAACCTCTCTATGTCTCAGTTTCCCCATCCATAAACAGGATGTACTAAAACAGTTCCTACTTCATAGATTTGTTGGTGAGGATCAAATGAGTTAATGTATCAAAATTGCTAAGAACACTAACTGGCACACAGCAAGTTCTATGTAAGCGTTGGCTACTATTATAATAATAATTTTAATGTCATAAATCTGCATATGAAGTAAACCATACTGTAGCTTCAGTACTATTCATTCCTTTCCCACTTGATTCCAAGAAAGCATTTTATTTCCATGTGGACATTCTCATTTACAATTGAACCAGGGAGAAAAATCACTTACCCCAGTGAAAAATACACACTCTTGTGTTATTTGTATAGATTATCTTTTCAAAAGCAGGATGTGAGTTTGCCTTCTGGAGAAGATGCTGTGATTCATCATAGTTTAATGTCCAATTTAAATAAGCTTATTAATATTCATTTATTTACTTCTTTCTTAGCTTGATAAATCTCTTTTCCCATATATCCTTTTCCTTTTAACATACACTTTCAATTTTCCAGGTATCTCTTCCCTTTGTTTTAATAGTTTGTTTTAAAGCAATTTTTTTCTTTGCTTCTCTTCTCAAAGCTCACCACTTTTTATTACCATCAACACACATTTCTCTTGATTCATCACAACCTCATATTCAATAATCTGTCTCCTTTTTAAACTTGAATTCCTATTTCTGGCTTCACAATCTTACTTCCTTTCCTTTCCCTTTTCCCCTTTCCCTTTTCATATCATCTGGCTTCTTTCCACTAGATCTCAGTCATACTTTGTTTTTCTACCAGCAACTTTTCCCCTTGAGAACTTTGACATAAATCTCTAAAACTTTAATTTCTATTAGTGATCATTATATACATCCCCCCATCCCATAAGCCCCTGGGGGAAAAAAAAAGCCTTCATCTTGGCTTCTATTGGTTGTGTAACACTCCAAAACCATCTTGGGGAAAATTGACATTTTAAGGACAATTCAACCAATAGCATAGCTCTTCCACTTTCCTAAATACAGCATTGGGAATACTCCCATTTGGGCCATATAAATCCCAATCTTTAATGAGGAGTTTCCTTATCCATTTCAAACAGACACAGACAAGTACAGTAAATTCCTTAGAATGAAATGTGACTGACAGACAAATAGTCCCCAAGAGAATGAACAAAAAACCTCTATGGCCTCCACATAC